AAGTAGAACATACGGTTGACGGAAACCCAGGGACTGCGCCTACCTGATGAGCCCAAAAAAGGGTGAAACCAGTCGTGGGCTGTCGACGGATTTTCAGCAACCTTATGAGTAGTACATTACAAAGATATACAGTCAGTGAACTGGGTTTTTTTTCATCTGAATGAGGGCGTTTTGCTCAACGCGGGACATGTCGGATTGTGCATATTAGCCGAACTCTTCATTCTGTCCATTAGGCTCAGCGATAGTCGATCAAAGGTCGATTAAACCACTTCGTCATCTGACCAACCAGTCAACACGTGACCACGTGAGGTAGAGTTCATGAAACGTCTAATTTCGAGTAACGCTGCTGGCAGCCGCTCGCTGCCGAACGGTACAGTGTCCGAACGATGAGCGAAGGGGTCACGCGTTCGGAACTTTTCGTGGAATGCGCAACATAGATTGATCGCAAAAAAGATGAAACAGCCGTGCACAGTTTGTCGGCGTCTCAACATGGATTGATTTCTCTTGGTAGACACAGTCTAATTTGAACTAACAGCCCACAATTCGCAAGCGCTCACATAAAAGGCAGTAAGCCGAACATTTTTCAAGGAATATCAGAAAGGAGGAAGGCACTTCATCCAACGCCTGAATGCACATGCCAGCATTCCTTACTAATTAAGAATTTCAGCCTCATGCTACAAACACCAGAGTTTTGGGCTAATGTTCCAGCCGGATGCAGGATTTACGCGTCAGTAGTTTGCTAGAATCATTGTAATGGGATACTTTCGTGTTATTTGAGAGCGTGAGTCCTTCACATGCTCTGTGTCCTAGTTCAGACCTTGAACATCCAAGGTCACATCCACTCGATAATGTATGATTGGTGGATTACGGCTTGCCCGCAAAAGCGGACCGTCACACCTAAGGTTGTGAGGAACTGAGTGGGTGGGATATGGCTAGACTTGAGAAGCAGTACCAACACGAATCTGTGTTCCAGATCTTCGAACAAGAAGTCTCAGCTGATTAAGGTCCCCACTCAAAGGCTCTGGACACCAGATGACCAAGTATTCAGGGGACACGTCAGTCTGGTTTAAACAACCCTATTTCTTTCTTTCCTGACGCTATTCTCCTAGTAGATCTACACAGAAAGAGGGAGTACTGTATTCGAGTTTCGCTCTTATTAGAGTCCACGAACAGTGGATGTATGGGCGTTGGAGCTCCAGACATCTGATTTGCCATACCAGAGTGTTACCCGCACTCCATCAGTTCACACTGAATCAGGCTTGAGCGATATGATTGGTTTGCCCGTCACCTCGAGCGATAACCCAGTCACTGTCCTGGTCGCATCGATCGACTGACCACCTTGTCAACTCTTCCCAGTCAGCTAGTTCCAAGGATGCTTGAAACTTGCTGGGAAATTCTGAATAGTTTTAGGTGGCTATGGGATCGATGAAATTCGACTTCAGATCACTCTCGTTTGGAAAGTTCACCTCCCGTCCCGACACGACCACGGATATACACCGCTAATGAACTCTGATAGGAGTAACCCCGGTGCTTCCCTCCTTTTCGTGTGAACTCATCAGAACAATTGAGTCAGGACAGGGGAAGCACTGCTCAGACGAATGAACATCCCAGTATTTGGTGACAAAGGCCGGGCCGGTAGATTTCCATTGGAGTTTATTTCTCTCCCGGGGTTACCCTCCATGCCAGAGTGTGTATGCTTTTCTTCTTATTAGTGCACAGGTGATGATAGCCATAATACAAATCAGAAGGTGTATGCACTAATAAAAGTCTTTAACTGTGATTGACAGTTGTTTACAAGAGCGATTTGTAGCTTGTATAAAATAAAGAGCAACATAAAATGTGGAGCAAGAGTCCCTTGGTGAAAGTCCGGACGGTGGGAACGTGTTTTCTCCCCAGTTTGGCTGCTACACGTATTCCATCATTGTCCGTGGACTTGTGGAGAGGTTGACTTCCTGGTCCTTGCGCGTGCGCGAGACTGTGTTCGATTCCCCTATATGTAGGTCCGTTTGCGCGTACGCGGGCTCGTCAGCACATGAGTGGCTGCTACGCTCACTAGACGGCGCGAAAAATCGACGTCTGATGAGTCACCTTAATGTGAGGTGTTGTGGGCATGAAAAAAATCAATCTGGTGATCCAGCGAGCGACTGTGAGCTGAACAGTCAAGTATGTGGGTGACTGGGTTGCTACATTCTCCGTGGGGCGATTACTCCCTTGCTTATAGGCCACGAACCTCGAGGTCTACCAAACAGGAAAACAAAGAGTACGTCATTAGGTGTCTGGTGGCACTTTTGAACGATCTAATCTAGAGACCAGTGTGATTACACAGATCGAACTCAAATTGCGAAATAACCGGCCACAGTAGCTAAGAATACTCGGGAAGAGAAGCGAGAATCTTCAAGCCGTCAGCGACTTCCAAATGAGAACGAAAGGTCTATCTGTTTGGCTTCCCAGGACAGTTATTGGTGAGCATATGGTTGTAAATTACTCTGAGGATGGTGATTTGGAGCAATGGATTTCAGCTTCCTAGGCGAAAACATCAGGAAGAACGTGCCATTCCTTCGAACAGCATTGGAATAAGCCTCCTTCAGACGTGTTGACGGCGAACAGTACTCAACTCAGCGTGGAGACGTTCTAGACGGGCTGTGACTAAACAAAGAGTCTGAATACCTGTCGAATTGTCTTCTTGCATACTTGACGAACGTGAAAAATCTTCTGTTGAGCGCACCGGAATGTTCATGGGCGACCTTGGAAGTGCCATGAACTTCCTTAGCGGGTCGCGCCATATTTTGCCTAACTCGGAAACACTGCAGCGCAATCGACCCTTTTTTTGTTTAAGGCAATGACACTGCCTGGAAACACCACAAGCGAGAGATTCAACTGGGCTCCAGGGCGAAATAACCACAGTAGCTAAGAATACTCGGGAAGAGAAGCGAGAATCTTCAAGCCGTCAGCGACTTCCAAATGAGAACGAAAGGTCTATCTGTTTGGCTTCCCAGGACAGTTATTGGTGAGCATATGGTTGTAAATTACTCTGAGGCTGGTGATTTGGAGCAATGGATTTCAGCTTCCCAGGCGAAAACACCAGGAAGAATGTGTCATTCCTTCGAACAGCTATGGAATAAGCCTCCTTCAGACGTGTTGGCATAGGCGAAAACATCAGGAAGAACGTGCCATTCCTTCGAACAGCATTGGAATAAGCCTCCTTCAGACGTGTTGGCGGCGAACAGTACTCAACTCAGCGTGGAGACGTTCTAGACGGGCTGTGACTAAACAAAGAGTCTGAATACCTGTCGAATTGTCTTCTTGCATACTTGACGAACGTGAAAAATCTTCTGTTGAGCGCACCGGAATGTTCATGGGCGACCTTGGAAGTGCCATGAATTTCCTTAGCGGGTCGCGCCATATTTTGCCTAACTCGGAAACACTGCAGCGCAATCGACCCTTTTTTTGTTTAAGGCAATGACACTGCCTGGAAACACCACAAGCGAGAGATTCAACTGGGCTCCAGGTGAGTCTCTCGCAAAACCAAATTAGTTTGCAAATGAGTGTATTTCGCTAATTTCGCGCAATTTGGTTTCAAGTAGAGCATACGGTTGACGGAAACTTGGGGACTGTGCCCTCCTGGTGAGCCCCGAGAAGGGCGAAACCGGTCGTTGGCTGTTCGCGGATGTATGGGGCTCCCTTCTGAGGAGTGGTCACTCAGGAAGCCAGTCGGTCCGTGACAACTTGATAGAGTCTCTCTTATTGAGAGTTGAGTAGCATTAAGTCCTGTCTAAGTGCTGATCAGCCTCCCATAAGCAAACGGCTTCATGTTCACTCACTGTTCGGAAGGTCACGGGTTCGAAGATTCCTAAATTTCGTGAGATGAGCACTACTGGTGATTCCCAAAAAGAATTAAACCGTTGTACAGCGCTTTCCGTCTTTTCGGGCGTAGATTGTCTTCACTGATCGGATGAAAATCTCTATTGAATAACATCAAGTCAGCTCACATCATCGCGAATCATAAGCAGCTCAGAAGAAGGATAACTTCACTGGATGTGTGAAACTCCCGTTTGAGAAGTAGTTTGTGAATCGTAACAAAGCTATGTCAGACAGAGCGACTCAGTTACGAATTATGAAATGTTAGTGGACGGGTGTCTCTAATTCGTTCTCCCTCTTCCTGTTGCTCCTACCGAAACGAGCACATTTCTTTCAGAGCCGAACTAAGATAGGTAAGTGGAACAAGCAAAAATACATTCTGGATCGTTTGGACATGCCTGAAATGTATGCTGTTGTCGACTGCGCCAGGAAGGTGTTCTCACCTTTCTAAGTTTCAGGACCACAAAAGCTCCGTTAGGCCAGGTGAAGAACCCCCTACTGAATACAGGACAGGTGCTGTACCAAGTGGAAAACCTCTCGTAACACTTGAGCATCTAAACTTACCTTTGTCCCGCCAAACTCTTCCTAAAAAATTGACATGAGGTCTGTCCGTGCCATGTGCTAAATGCACAATGAAGGTAGAAGCCGGTACATACCGAGTGGTACAGCAAGCATCCTTCATGCGGTGGTTTAGACGGTAGAATGCTCCACAAAAAAGATTCCCCTTCATGCAAGTCTCGCATTCGTGTGAATAAGATTAACTGGATTCGCATGAAAATTGGAGCAAATGCCTCTAGAAGAGAGTTGTTCCCCTATACTCAGTGATGATAAATTCACTCACTGGTGTAATGTCCGAAAACTAGGTTAGTTCGAAGTCTGGGCACTTGGCACCTCGTGATTGAACTGGAAAATTTAAACACGCAACATGCGCGATCGGTACAAATCGCTGGATCAATCAAGTTGACTCATTCAGCGTGTCAGCAATTCAGTCCAAGGCCGTTAGACAATCCGCTGTCTGAATAACAGGACCGATCGCCATCCGACTACACCAGCCAAGTTTGTGACATCAAAAAATCACGTGGAAGAATTGTTGGTGTCTCAGGACAACCAGCAAAGTTTTCAACTAACCCCGGTAAATCTGCTCTTTTCCAACGGGCTATCTACTGCAACAACAAATGTTCACACTACTCGGTGTTGCGTAATATTCAGCCAACAAGGAATATGATCACGTGAATGAAAAGTTACACGTCCTAACCAGATTGGAGCTGTGAAATCCTTTTGTTTTTATTACATTACGTTTTTGTTCGTTTCCGCTGGCCGTTCACACAAAGTTTGTTCACTTGCGTTACAAGTGAAGCTTATCTAACAAAAACTCACGAACTCAGTTTAGTGCAACTGAAGACATTTTCAAAGGCAAAAAGAACAACAGTAGACACTCGACTAGAAAAAAACAAATAAAGCGAAGGGTCGACTGCCTACCTAGCTACCTGCCTACCTAACTTCCTTCTGCCTAACAGACGGATCTGTCTCAGAATCTAATTAGGAAATTAGCTTTTCGTGCACCTCACTGAGAGAGCGTGTGATGTGCGTGTGGGGAGGTTGGGGGAGAGCATCGTGTAACCCACCCACCCACTCACCCCCACACACACACTTTCGTGAATCAAATTGAATCGCTGAGGTAAATCAAAAAGGTGCGTACCCATGGGACTAGAAGTACAAAGGCGGCATCAGTCAAGCTAACAGAACCAGAGGTGGAAGGAAGTTTGGAGCGGAATGAGTGATAACAAGTGCCCCGGCAATTGTTTATCGGTTACCACTTCAAAGGTTGGCTTACTTAGATTAGTAGGTTGTTCACCGTTCTTGCTGGTTCAGCCTGATGAATGCTGGATGGTAATTCGGTAATTCAACGGATTTACTTCTCGGTTTTCATACGACACAGTGCATGCCAGTGAAAGAAGGCCTTCGCTGTGGAGTTATTTATCAGGAAATGCCAACTGAACAGTTACAGACTATTGGACAGGGAAACAAAACTCTCATATGAATCTTGTTTACAAAAACTGAATATCCATCTTCTCTTTGGACACGTCTTCCTGAACTTTCTTGGATATTTACTGAATGTTGCTCGAATCCAAGCAAATGCGACTTCACCAGTTTCGTAATAGATCTCACTTTCCAGGAGACGCAAAGCGGATTTACGAGAAAAAATACTACTCACATGCCCCCCATCAGTAGTATCACCGTTACACCAGTACATTAGGGGTTGCAATCCGTGAAATTCTATAGGAAACTAACAGTATGCTCAAGTAGCCAATTTGAGTTTTGTGGAATTTTGGCCTTGAAAACGTGCAGAGATGGTACGCAAGGATGAGAAATTTGTGTATACGCAGTATGATAGGAAACTTAGTATGTTCGTGATTGTACACCTACAGCAAGAAAGAGATTAACATATGCAATGAATTAGAGTGCACATTGAAGCAATCAGGGGAAAAGGCGGCTCTTTCTCTTACACCGAATTCCCTATGCACTGAGGTATGCTGTCAGGATACAGGACGCCATTAATGTAATCAAACTGACGCCCCCTCGCTCTTTCAGGTTTCTGCTGCGTACCTCTGGTTATGCAGAGAACGCGGCAGCTAAATATACCGGCGTGGTCATTTTACTGAGCAATCAAGCGATTGATTGGTTGACATCGTTTGATTTCCCCCCTCGGCGCGGCTCGTCTGACAAGGCTCGTGGAAGAATTTCGAGATAACGAGATACACCGATTCCTGTTTGTTGTGCACGTTTATGCCCCGACGAACTGTAGCTCTGAATCTGTCAAGGACACCAGACATTCTAGATACTCTTTTACAAGTGGATAAACTCCCAAATGTCACTGTGGTTGCTGATGGTATGAATACTAACATAGGTAGACATCGCCTTTATCGGTGGTCAGCTTGGGTCGAACACGAGAAGTGAAGAGGACGGAGACTAGCTGCTACAGATTTGTTCCAGTCACCGACTGTCCATTTGCAGTGCCGTTATCCGGAACGGGGAGAACCGTTTGATTGCTGGGTGTCCACAAAGAAGCCAGTCCCGAATTCAAATATACCAGTGGTTAGGGTCGACCAATGCCTGCTGATCCTTCTAGAACACTGGGGAGACCCCGATCGTACGCACTCGTACGCTGTTGAATTTCATTACGTTTTTCAGGTCCAGCTCGTCCAGCGGCCACTAAGAAACTAGCGTACCCGAACTTATGAGAACCAGCTCTTCCGGATGATCCGATGTCAGTTATCAACAGGAAAAGAAATCCAAAGCATTACTCAAAGCCGAACCTTTGGTACTGCGGTACAACCCATCCAACCTTATCCAAGCACTGGATGACTGATGCGACGGAGGCCCCGCAACAGATTCCTTCGGGTCGTAGCCTTAATCGACCGTCTACCTAATGAGTGTCTGTAGAAACCGGGAGACCTGAGGGTTCCAAAAGGCCGAAGAAATGAAAAAGGCGAAGAATGTTGGACACATCCGGAGATTCTCCGGATGGATTCGTTCGACTGGTCCTCAGAAAACTTGTCAGCGGAACCATTCAGGATCAGGATCCTATTTTCAACAACGGAAAACGTTTTGAAACCTTGTATGCAATTCGGTTGATCACCCGCCACTCTTTGTCCGAACCGTCCACCTCAGAAGCTTCTGAATGTATAAAGTACGATGAAAATTTAACTACACTATTCAAGAACGATGTGTATTCATCCGCCAGTGTCTGTTTAGCCTGGTCTATCTGAGAGACCGTTCCAGACAACTGACTGAGTTGTTAGTAGCACACATTTCAAAAGGAGTTCTAGTGGAGATCTTCGCAACCACACGGCTGGTGTTTTGACGCCCGTGTGAGAGCTTCCGGTGAGCTCTGCGAAACCTTAGTTTTCACAGAGCTGTTAGTGAGAATCCTGACAACCTAAAGTAAGCAGATGCCGTCTTCATTGTTGAACAGGAAGACCAATCAAGGAGAGGCACTGGAGGCTGTGAAGGAGTTTAGCTTCCTTGATAGCTGAAGAAAGTGTAGATGACACAGTTGGTGCACAAAAATCGAAGGTCCGAATCACGTCTGTTCATTCGCGTCACAACTGGATCGAAAGAGTCGCGCGCACCAGGCTGTTGTAAGAACTGTGTTGCCGTACTTTTGCCGGACATGATCTGCGAGGACAGAGGATGTGTGGCGTCTTCAGGTTTCTGACAACCGATGACTCAGAAGCGTTGCTGGTGTTGGATGGCTCTAAAGAATTTGATACATCAGTATAGTAAAAGCGGACGAATAAATTAGAATCTTGATAGCTTAGTGATTTAGATTTGAACTTACTGGCTAGATGGTCCATGGTTCAAACCCAACTTCAGTATCTCGACTTGTCCTGTCTAGGCTTAGGCAACCTGACAGTGTCCCAGCCTTCATGTTTCCTTCAGGTGGCATGACAGCTAGGCACCAAAAGAGTGTTACGACTGACCCCGTTCCGCCCTTTTTGAAGTTCACCAGAATGGACTTCTGACGACCTCATATTCCAAATGAAAACCAAAAAGTACGTGGTTGATAAACAACGTTCGTTTGCCACTTCGAATGGCGTTGCTAAGAGACTTAGCTGAATCTCTCGTTTATGGTATGGTTCAAACAGGTATCTGCATAAACAAAATTAACATGTAGCTGAGTGTATCTCATCTAATTTCGATGGAGACTTGGGACAAACCGGTCGTGGACTTTAGAGAGGTCTACTACAACCCTGTGAGTAATGTGTTTTGTCAAGAAGATTGACTCATGTTGCATTCATTCATACTGCAACATCATTTCCACCGCGTCTTTCAGTCATCCTGCACCAAAGCAGTTCTTCATTACTAAGGCGGGCCATTCTGAGACATTTTCTGAAACACCTATCGGTGATCTGAGTAGCTTACGTGCGTCATACTACAAGCGGACACGACAATCTTCGGACCGGCTATTCATCACCTAGTCAAGAATGAATCTGCAGTCTCCATGGGACAGGTTAAACAGGGAAGTATGTATCACGAAGCCTTCATTAACACCAGCTGAGTGGAAATGTAATACTTATCCTGGGTGTGTTAGCTACTTCGGTGTGTCAGAGAGTTTGCGCGTGTGCGTGTCCGTTTGTCATTCCACCATCGATCTGGCGTGTGACTTGAGTGCTGATTGGGTGCGTGTCCGATTCGCTTGCTCGCGTGAGCGTTGTGGGTTGACTGGATAGTGACTCAGGTGTTTGCTGACCCCCCACGAAAGCAGACCGAGTTGGCCGCGTGTACACAATAGACCCGTGTCCTTACTTACGTGTCCTTCTGACCACAATAGTGGGTTTTCCAAGTCTCTTAACGTGTTCACCTGCCGCCACCGAGGTAGAGTATTATCTCGTCCGATGCCTCTAGTAAGATCTCGCGGTAATTTCTTAAAGATAGCCGTCCTCATTTCTCAACAAAAAGGTCATCGCTGACCGCACAGACTACGGATACAGATGGAATGGAACAAACGACGCTGAACATTCAGAAAGTGCCCAAGTTACGTCGTCATCATCATCGATAGCGTGACATCAGTGTTCAACACTGGTGCTTCGCTGCCGTACAACCATGATTTATTTGAAAGACTTATTGTGAGGTGGACGGAGAATAGCCTTAATTCTAGCTTACTACAATCATTCCGAGGTACCTGCACCTACAGACACTCATTCAGGCAATCTGTTTAGGAGCTAGTAACAAGAACGGTACTGACATCGATCAGTTGCCATATCTTGCAGCGTCTCCAGGCAGGCGTTCTGCACACGTAGCACTGACAGCACCTAAACGTTTTGTATTCTCCTTCATACGTCTCTGCCAGGTCAAAGGTTGGCCACCTCTCTGCTTCCACCATTCAGCACTCTCTTCGCCAAACGATGTTTCGGCCCCGAGCGAGGGGTGGTCGGATGGACATGGGTGATAAAAAGCAGTTGTACCGTTGCAACAGGTGGAGTTACCCAATGCCACTCCTATTTCATCGTCAGTTCATACTTCTTGCCTTTGTGGATCGACTGACCACTAGGGTTCGTGAATAGACCGCCTACCTGTGAAGCTCCGACCAATCGCGTTTAGTCCCCCCTCTGCCTTGCTTCACCTTGTCAGGTGGTGCATTCAGGAACCATAGAACTGAAGGTATTTCTTCATAAATGCGATACAACTGACCATTCCATATTAGGGCAGTTTCCACCTACACTTTCAAATATTTAGGCACTCATTATACAAATGGATGGACACGAACTCATGTGAATTTCGTCGTCACCTTGGTACGTCCCTGGACAGGAAGAACAGAACGCGAATTCAAAGCAGTTTGGCAATTTCCAATCGTCTCCTATGAGACAAAACGTTCATGTTTGTAGACAGGAACTACTAAACATCAATTTGTGCGTGTGATTGCGTCTGAAGATCAAACACGCGATCAACTACTATTGAAAACACCGTAGTCCGAACAAATTACCTTATCGTAGACTAAGGATGTTCCGTTTTCCCTTACGAGCTTGTATGCAACGGTTCACGTATTCTGCAACTCTGGCCATCACAGTGCGTGTGCCGGTGGAAAGAGGAAGTGCAAAACTGTAAAGTGGACAAGTTGGGTGGACCTAAACAACAATGTCTGGGCGAGAAGTGAAGCTTCGTAACTGGACCCGTTGAATCTGTCAAACAAGAGAGTTGTGTGTGTGTGTGTGGGCATTCCGTTTCAGAAGTACAATGCGAGTAAACATTAAATAAAAACATGTTTTAGCATAAGGCTGATCAAAGTTCTCAATGGGGATCCATATAAGTAGGTCAGATAATCGGTTTTCCGTCAATCTCATCTTCTACGTGAACCTCAGTTGGACGAAATTCGAAACATACACAAATATGGTTCCATTGAGAGACTTAACTAAAGTTCAGCTGGATTCCTTGTTAATCAGATTCTGAAACCGAATGTACTGCACACAAATCACCTCATGTTTCAGCTGGTACCGCATTATATTTTCTTGAAGGAAAGGTTTCTGAAAGCTATCGAAATACACTCGTTTGCGAATAAATTTGGTTTTGAGTGATACTCACCTGGAACCCAAATGAATCTCTCTCATTCATGATGTTTTTAAGCAACTGAATTGGCTTCACCAGGCTCTCTTGTCTTTCAGTTGGTACGATATTCGAGATGTCGCGATACATGGATAGACGAAATATACTACTCATGAGGTTACTGAACCCTCTTTGACATCCCGCTACCGGTTTCTCCCATCTTCTGACTTATGATACAGAGGCGGTCTCCAAGTTCCCGTCGAACCTATGTTCTACCTGAACCCCAACCTCATGAGACTTGCGAACAACCCCGATTTTACGTGGCAATTTAGTTTTAGTCGCCCAGCACGATTTGTTTGTTCGCTGAGAATAGTTGCTGATTATCAACTGAGATTTCTTCCTGTCAGTCAAACCAGTCTGTGCTGAAAAGCCAAGGAGCACTGGAGAGCTGCTTCATACATCAGGCGCATATTACCAAGCTTGAAGAATTTCGAACCCGAAACCAGTGGTTATTGGACAACTAACGGTTTGACAAAGAGCGACTAATCTCGCTATGATAGATGGTCCTACAATCATGGAAACCGCGTTTAGTAATCAGGTAATTACCGGTTCCTCGAACAATATCAAGGCAGTGGATTGTTCACTCACAGCCGGGGCTTAAATTAGACCAAAACCTTTTGGTAGATGGGGACGGAAGTGCCCACATGCATTGCGGTTAACTCCCTTTCAGGATTGGTGAGAAATCGATCTTGAGTTCGGAAGAAATTCGATCAAAAGCATACTCTAAAGGTCTGTCCCTTCAGCACCAATGGAATCGTTGAATTCTCGACCAATTGACCATTCATGCATGCTATCAGTGCCTCTAGTCTATTCGAATCACAGACCAAGATGTGTTCCCCACGCTACAGCTCAAGTATGAGTCTGCCTTGGAAATTACGGACGTTCCAATTGGTGATTCGTTCTCGATGTCGAGGTTCAACTTTACCTCCTGATTAGCTGGGTTTTGTGAAGAGAAAAACAACGTTCTTTCAAACAGAGAACAAAAAGTTTTCTATAGAGGAGAATGTCGGTAGTCGAGGTTCAACCTCCTGATTAGCTGGGTTTTGTGAAGAGAAAAACAACGTTCTTTCAAACAGAGAACAAAAAGTTTTCTATAGAGGAGAGGAGAATGAGCTCAGGTAGCGTAGATGGTCGTTGGCTTGTTCGCTGAGCTGGGCAATTTGGTTGCAAACGTTTCATCACCAATCGAGGTGACATCATCAGTGCGTAGTTGTGCGTAGCGGTGGGTTAGTGGTTGTGCGTTCAGTAGTGTTACGTGTGTGTTGATATACGTGCTGGTAGCCGGGGATGACCTTTGACCGCGATTAGTTATTCTGTCGGGCGGTTCCATTGGTTGTTCTTTTATCCCGTGTCCTCATTCGCCGATGCCCACGTGACCTTGGAATTTGGCATCCCTCGCCGTCGTAGTCTGGTCGGTGTTGGATTGACCTTTGTCCTTCCGAGTTCCGTTGTGACCTTTATTGATTTGATTCCGAGGAGTTCCTTGTTTCTTCGTTTGTTAATCCATTATTCGGTCCTCCTTGAGTGTTTCGGTTGCGATGTTGATCTCTCGCACGTAGAGGTGCGTAAATTGGATCCAGTTCGATGCACCGGTTGATTGAACCTGCCGTAGAGTACCATGCTTCCAGAAATTCTCTTCCGTGTCGCGTGTCTCCGTATGCCAAAATTTTCGCGTTTTCCAGATTGAATTTGTGGCCTTCTTGGTCCTCGTGTATAGATATCAAGGACAGGGGGTCATGCCTCCTGACAGCCGCGTTGTGTTCCTTTATTCGTGTACATAATTTTCTCCCAGTTTGTCCAACGTAGAATTTGTTGCAGTCGATTTGGTATATCACATTGTTCCTCTTGGTTTTATCCCGGTTGTCCTTCGGTCTAGAGATTAATTTCCTTAGAGTAGCACTCGGTTTGTGGGCCACGAAATTCCTTTTTGCGCCAATAATCTGGGTGCGAGTTCTGATATATTCTTGATGTAAGGTAGGACTACCCGTCTGGTGGCTTGTTCTTGCTGTGGCTGTTGTTGAGATGTCTTCTTCTTCAAGCTTCTCTTGATAAAACTCCTTGGATATCCATTCTTCTGGAACACTCTGTATAGATGGTTTTCCTCCTTCTTCAAAAAGAAAACAACATTGATTAAACATTGTAGACCGTATTCAACCGTTGGAAAATTCGAGAAAATATCAGTTAAACGTTGGACGTAATTGTCGCTGTGATTCACTGTCTCATGGTCAAATCACCCGCAACCTCAGACACTTGGTAATTTCCAGAGTGTATGCGTGTGCGCGAGATGAAGTTTGACGAATCTTGGACAGAATTGACTTTTGCCTGACTGCTCAAGCCTCATTTGAAACAATTCATGTGAATGACGCTCAAAAGGCGAACGTAAGCTTCTACAAACGCACACACTATATTGCTAAGATTGCTCTGTCAAGCTTGTGCACAATGGGGACTGAACGTGCGCATCCACACACCCATGCCTTCGGAAAGGAAACGTACTACGCATAATTTAAATGAAATAAAGGAAGGAAGAAGTAAGGATAATTCGATTAAATCGACCATGATGTCCGGGTTCTAACGGTCGGTTTTAGAGGATACATTCAAGTTAGTCTGCACCCCGAGTGTGGAAGGCAGCAAGTAATTGCTCAGATTAAATCCAACTCGGTGGTTACTAGTGGGGTCTGTGTTCAGAACTTTCGATGGGTAAATCTACACCAAAAAACCAGGAAGCATTTTACAGCTGTTCAGTTCTCATTGGAATCATCGGTACTGCATATGTCCCAAACTTCAGTGAGGAGCTGTCGACTTCCCAGCCAGTAGTTTGAACGCGTAATGCGGCCGAGCAGCAGCGTGAGTAGCTCGCATGTAGGCCAATCATCCTTCCGTCACGAAGACCACATCACGTGATCTCGTCTTCGCAAAATACATTCATTCCTCCCCCAAAAAGTTGTCAACGCAAGACTCAGCTGAATCTCACCTGGTTTATGATATTCCTCCACTGAATGTAGTCCACAGTGGCCACCAGATAACTCAGTTGGTACGAGTTATCGCACTCTGCTTGCCTGAAGATACACTGTTCATAGGGTCAGATTCAATCAAACTGTTCTCAGATTTCAAGGAGGACTCAGCAAACTTATGAGCAGTGTTCCTTAGAAATTCTCGGTCTTCCTTATTCCAACTTGACAAATGTGCGGATAGTTTCACATCAAGTGAGCTGTTCTTAGGTGCATTCTTGTTTTTTTAAAAATCTATTATGAGGTATACAACACCGTTTTTTCTGGAGAGTCAGCATGTGAAGCTATGGAAAACCGATTCCACGTTACTGCATGCGGACGTTGATTCCGTTCGCTGCTTCAAATGCAGAAGCACCGACGTAATCGCTGTAGAATGAAATCAGGTGTGACACGCATGTAAACCGGGCTGGACCATGTGAAATCGTTAGGAAAACAAAGTCTAGAACAGCTGAGTGACTACCCTAGTCAATTAGTTTGAAGTAAAGTGCTTGCTCGATTACATTCTGTCCTGCATCACTCCAAATTTGGACAATGGGTCTTTGGGAACGAGGCTAATACGTGACATCACCCTTTTAGCAAGTTCCACCCCTTACTCCAACGAAATAAGATTCATCAATTCACACAACTATCCCGCTCCGTCAAAAAAGACCGGTCTTTTCCAATAGGCTATTTAAAGAAACATCTTCAGAGAATCATTAGTCTCCACTAGACCGGAGGGTTGCTTTCGAGTGGGTAGCCAATAGAATGAGTAGCTATCAAAGTATCAGTTTTTGTTTTCCAAAGTTCCCAGGGTTTATTGTAACTCGAAATGGTGGATATGTAATGCCTAATTCGGGGTAACTAGGTTCAGATACACCAAAGTTATCGATCGGCTGTTTGTCGCATAAGTTTGTAAGTTACATGATATTCGGGCTGATAAGTGACTAGTGAATATCGATCACTCACATGGAGTAGCAGTTAATTTTACTTAGCAAGCAATCATTTAGCGAAGTACACTCATTTGTAAAGAAATTTGGTTTTAAGAGAGACTCACCTGGAACCCAGCTGAGTTTCTCTCGTTTATGATGTTTGTAAGCAACTGAATGTGCTGCACTCAGACGCCTCTTGCTTCCGTTGGAATGATATTCAAGATACATGTATGGACGTAATATACTACTCACAAGGGTGCCGAAGACTCTTCGACAGGCCACGACCGGTTTCGCTCTTCTTGGGACTCATCAGGTAGGTTCATTCCCTAGTTTCTCTAAATCTTATGTTCTAAATGAGACCAAAAACATCACAAGCGAGAGACTCAGCTAGGTTCCCAGTGAGTCTCTCGAAAAACCAAGGCAGTTTGCAAACCTCGTGAAATTTGGTTTCAAGTAGGACATAATTTTGACGGAAAATCGAGGACTGCGCCTACCTGACGAACCCAACGTGGAAGGGCGAAACCGGTCGTGGGCTGTCGAATATATTTCACAAACTTTGTGAGTAGTGTAGTACGTCTATACAAGGAATCATTTACTTTCGTTCCAAAAAGCTTCTGCTTCTCAAGGTAGTCTCGTAATAGGGCGGAAATTGAGTTAATTGAGTTCTTACAGATCTGTCTTCTGGTTGGTGATAATTTACCACAGGTGTTTGTGAAAACTGAGTGACGAACTAAGTGCAACTAGGGTTGGATCCGTTCTTCTCCGAGAAGCCTAATTTGTTTTACACCATTGAGCGTCATTTTGCGCAAAAATCACCACCAGCGTTTTTCTGTAAAACCCAGTGTTTTTCAATAGACGGGCATTCACTGCTCTGAGAAAATCGAAGGCCGTATTTCCCATGAATTCTTTACAAACTGTAATTTATACCTCACCTGGGAGCTGAATCTGGGTCGTCACATGTCGGAAAGACAGTGAACACTGGATTACTTAAATTGATAGCTCGAGATAGCTCATTGTTTAAAGCGCGAACTTGCAGGGGAGGAAGGTCCGTGGTTCGAGTCCACGTCAGGTATCTCGAATGCTTTTGTCTAAGCTCCGGAAATCTGGCAGTATCTCAACGCTCGTGCTTCTTTCGGGTGTCAGGAATAGAAAGCATGGTGTAGTTTGAGGATTAATATCTTTTGACTACGTAATGTAGAGTGGTCGACAGAAGGACGGTAACGTTTTGCCTCCTTTCCAGGGTTGAGCTAAACTACTGATTACCTACTAATTTAACCAGAGTTTATCACTGTTCGAGCGAAACCTTCTCACAACGTCATCAATCTATGAGTAGACCAGAGGGAGAACCATTTGTCAAACTGAGTAAAGTTGTCCTCCTAGAAGCCAGTCAGCACATGACCACTGGACCACGTGATATGGTTTTTATAATTAGAGAATAGGTGGAACTGTACTACTGACTAATGGTGAGCGAGTTAATCACAGTGCTGATTGGGCCACCAGTCTCATCAGGACACATCAATGGATATTTGCGAGTTGAAGCCTTCCTGAAACTTCATCAGATATTTCCTGCTCGTGACCTCAACAAACGTACAGTCCTCTTTATTTTTTCAGCAAATTGAATGTAGACTGATCAACATGGACCATGCAGAAAGTTTCTTACGTTCTAAAACATCAGCAGCGCTCATGTAGGAGATTCTAACTCCTGGACCAAGGACGAAGAGGGTAACTTATCCTAAACACATCAGTCTTTGTACCAAGTTGCGTCTTTGTCAGTGTATACAGTGTAAAGTTGTCATTGAATGGTTTGCTTCATATCCCACTAGTAAGCTCTTCTAATACAATTCACTGTTCAGAGTGTATAACGAATAGAGTTCTAAGGAATTCTTCGGAGAAAGGGTGTGGCCTAATACCGAAGACCTTGGCAACATGAGCTCTTTCGTCTCGGATGAGACCGTCGTGGGACGGTACATGTAGCCCCTTGATCAACAGCTTCAGATCACAAATCAACGGATGACACTGTACAGCTGGCCAAGTGGATTTGTGATACGATTGTTTGGCCAGCCTTTAGCTTCCCGGAATGTAAAACCTCAAGACTTGGTGGGCACCAGGTCCTGTGAGCACTAGTCACGTGATTGCCCGAAATGGCCGACAACCGGCTGGATCGAAACTCACATCACTGTACTATTTATGCGGAGCACAAATGTTTCAACCCGCGGGAAAGTTTTCTCGGTGACTATACTGGGATCCGACAGTTTGAATCACGATTTCAACTTGCTTCATTCGGAAGATATACTACTTACCAAATTTTTGATGACATCTGTCACACTTCCATTTAGTTGGAACTGTTAAAAAAAACCGCTAAATTTCGGAAAAACCCTTTGGTTTGCTGGAAAGATCACAGATATAGGTGTTGGAATGCTAGAATTTCAGTTTTTGAATGTGCAATTCGAACGTTGCATTGGATGTCTTGCGGGCTGTCATGAGTGCTTTTCTTTTCTCTCTGGATATCTTGTTACCGCTAACTAATATACGGTTGATTGGAACTCACCCATGCCAGGAACACATTTGGAACAGTGGCTAGCAGGACGAGTTATGTCAGCCAAGTGATCGGTAGTCTCTCACAAGTTTCCTCCTATTGGTTCGTCATCCTGTTACTTCACACACTATTGGAAGCTTCAACTAGGATTCGATCCCATGAGCGAAACTCACCCAAACTGGAAAGCTGAGAAGTACTGTTCAGATGTCTCCTCTGTGGTGAGATCAGACTTGGACAGGAAACAGTCACGGGGACCGCATCACGTGTTCCCTTGGTCACGTTGTTTGGCTTCTCGAGTGACGACTTCTCAGATGAAAGTTTCACTCATCTTGTGAAATTATCCTTCCTCTAAGCGATTTAAAATGTGATGACAGCGTGAAGATAGGCGGTAATTTTCAACAGTGAAGCCCGTCCATTTTGAAAAGCCGAGAATCACTGTTTCCTTTTTACTGTGGATCATCAGCAGCGCGCGAGCAAATCATAGTGCTGATTAGGTGCTCGTTCAAACGCCTAGCCACAAGGTCGTGGTCTGGAAGTTCGCTACTGGAGTTTCTTCGGATGATTCCCAATAAGGATATATCAGGTGTACCATGGTTCTGGGCTTTTCGATGAATTTACTTGCAACTTGAGATCGCGATGGAAACTATCTGGATTT